CTACTTGGAATCAGCGTATTTAAGCTAAAACATTTGCTTCATTGCTTGTGGGATGTAAAAGCTTGTTGCACATGCGCACTTTTTACGCTTTAATCGGTTACGCATGCGCAATCTATCATTTAACGTACCACAACAAAAACGCTAAATATATTAGTATAAATTTGGAGACTGCACGTGCGTAATTTAAATGATGCGGCAACTCAGGGATCGGATGATGGACTATTGACGGCTCTGAGCTAACTGTTGCTGTTCCTTGCACGATTATGTGCGTGAGGCACTTGCCTAATGCGTAGTCGTCAGGGAGACAAAGGTGTGACCCTTGGTAACGGGCGATTAGTTCTAATCGCCCGCTCTAGCGGGCGATTAGAACTAATCGCCCGCTACAGCGGGCGATTAGTTAGTAATCGACCCTGTTGAAACAAAAGAAACCCGGGCAACTATGCTATTATCACTATTTAACTACAAAATAGTGATTAAAAAAGTGATTAAGAGTTTTATACAACCGGCCCCAGGTGATAAAAGTAACCCCAATAACTACAGAGGGATAAGCTGTGTGAGCAAGTTAATACATCCATCGCAAATTGGGTTTCAATCAGGTCATAGAACTGCTGACCATATTTTTACTTTGAAAACATCTATGCATGTTTTATAGATTTCAAAAAAGCTTCCGACTCGGTTTGGCACGAGTGTTTATTTTTGAAATTACTGGAAAACAAAATTGATGGTCAATTTTATAATCTTATTCAAAGTCTTTACTCAAATTCAAAATGCGCTGTTAAACAAAGCAAGACAAGAACTGATTTTTGAAATTACTCCAAAGGTGTACGACAGGGATGTATATAGGCCTATACTGAGTCCTCTTCTTTTCAACATTTATATAAACGAGTTAGCTACTTTGTTTGACAACACAAGCTCTGATCCGTTTATACTTCCAAATGGAACAAAACTGAGCTGTCTTTTATATGCTGATGATCTAGTCATACTATCTAGATCAAAGTTCGGTCTCCAGAAATGTCTGGATGACCTCCATAGATGGAGCAATAAATGGCTTATGGAGGTGAATTTACTAGATGATTTCCACTCCCGGTTCTGCGCATCAGTTCTGCTCAATCATTCTGTTCATTCTAATCAAGATATAAAGATTGCCCAAATTTTGCATCTTTCAAACTTTTTTGAATTGAAATGTACAGTTTATATTCATTTACAAGCATAGCGAACCAGAAAAGTGTTAGATATTCAGTTAGTTTATCATATTTTATAAATATAGCAGTTCAAAACGTAAACAAAGTTCGCGCATGTGCACAGGAGTGGACATCATCATCAAAGAAAACGCAAGTTATGATATTTGAGAAAACAAATTCTAAAAAAGCGAAACCAATTTTTAATCTTGGAAAAAAAGATATAACAGTTGGAAAAGAATACTGTTATTTAGGCATTTAGATGAACAACAATGGTAATTTCACTTTAGCTCTTAAACAGCTGAGCGAAAAAGCCCTCCACGCACTAGTGATACAGTATGAGAAGACGGCTCAATATACACCAACTTAACCCAAAATCTGCTATTAAAATTTTCGATCGAATTATAAGCCCCATCCTTCTCTACAACTCTGAAGTATGGGGTGCATATGTAAAAAATGATTTCAACAATTGAGAAAAGTTACCTATTGAAAAAGTCCACCTTATACATTTGCAAACTATATCTAGGTGTGGGCAAAAAAGCTAGCGATATCGCCTCAAGAGTTGAACGTGGCAAATTCCCTCAAATTATTGATATCTTCAAAAGACTTTTCAAGTACATCACTCATTTGAACTCTTTATCGGAAACAGCCATTGCCAAACAAGCTTTCCTAATCTTAAAAGATTTGTTTACTAAACAGAAAAGCAATGGATATTTTGAAAGCATTTAACCTCAACAAAGAAATCACTGACTTGGAATCAATCACAACTGAACTTATTCAACCTATTACCAAACGTCTTAAAGAAAATTACCTCACATTTTGGAAACACAAACTTGAAAATTCCTCGAAACCAACCTTCTATTCAACCATCAAGTTGGATTACGAACTAGAAAAGTACTTATCTATAATAAAAGACTCAAACAAAAGGAAAACCTTAACACGATTCAGATTAAGTAACCATAGCCTTCAGATTGAAACTGGTAGATATTACCATAATATAGCCCGAGAAGAACGACTGTTCTGTCACTCGGGAGAAGTCGAAAATGAATCTCAATTCCTCCTTACTTGCGAGACTTACGGTGACATTTGAGTAAACTTTATAAACGGTCTAAAAAACGATCTCATGCACTACTATTGAGACAAACGTAAACGAACCAACTTTATCAGTTGACATAATGAAGTCAACTGATAGTGACACCATCCTGAAATTATCGAAATTTATTTTTTCATGTTTTGAGGAAAGACTTAGCTATTAAACAACTTGAAGCCGGGAATGCTGGTATAGTCATTAGTTAAACTCTTCATCCTGTAAATAGTATCTTCTTATAGTCTACTTCTTAAAGCCCGTTCTCCACTAGGCGAATTTATTCGCGCGAACAGATAAAAAGTAGGAAGCGATCCTACTTTTTCGCCGCGAATTTTTTCGCCAACCAATCACGTTGCCGGATTTCGGTTTTCGCTTCGCGTCGCGCGAACAAATTCGCGTAGTGGAGAACGGGCTTAAGGTACTAGATAAAACATGAGCAGCCGATCTGTATCTGATATACAAACTCGAGCCGCAGGCGAGAGTTTGTATATCAGATACAGATCGAATGCGAATGTTTTATCGTACTGAATGATGACCCATCTTATGAGTTCATTGGCGAAGTAATTTTAAAAATAAACATTGTCTAAGCCGAGAAAATCAAAGCTGAAGTTTATGTAAATCGGGACAAATCTTTATCCGATTTACAAACATTGATTAAACATTCATTTCTTTTGTATTTTCCTCGTGAATTATTAGTGAATTTTTAAAATATTTTTATATGTTAGCCTACATCGTTAAGTTATAGTTAAGTTTTAACAATACCTGTAAAATATGGTCATGCTAATAAAGCGATTATCAATTGTCCAATTGGTGCATAAAGCTTTTCCGTGAGTCACCGTGCATGTTTTTTTAATAATATCGATTGCATGTCTATTAATTATATATGTTACGTTAAAATTTTGTTATATGGACATCTTATAATTATAGGATTGCTTCATAAGTTGAGTTAAACTTGATAAAATTTCTTTATAGATTGTATGTTGTTTTTTTTTCATTTTATAACATACATAATTATCTTATTAAATAGGTATACATGCAGTATTTACCTCAACAATTTTGTACCGAGCTTGCTGTTAGCGTATATACGGTAAAGGCGCTGCGTGCGGGAAGTGAAACGCAGTCCGGGCGGGTTGTGTTTTGTCTGACTTAGCGTTTTTTCTCAAAAAAGAATTTTAACTTTTTCCCGCCCTTTCTAACTCTGAAAAGGTTAGGGTTAGGAGTTAGAGAAGGATTTGGGGTTGGGTTTGATTTATCTTATAAAAATTCAACTTTAACTGAAATCACTCTATAGCCAGCAGTTTACTAAAAAGCCGGCTGGCGGCTGTGTATAGTCACTTCGAAATATAAATGTTTACTCAATGTGAATGAAATTTTTTTCATAACAACCATGTAATTCCTTTGCGCAGATACATGTATGCCAAGCATACCTTTTTTTTCTCCGTATTCTCAAATCTCGTACAAATAAAATATAATATTCTGAAGCGTAAAATATGAACATAAAATATTCTGAGAAATGTAATTCATTTATGTACCTACCAATTTGGCAAAAGATCTACCATAAACTAGGAAGTACTGGACAGGTATATATTGCAGTTTTGGTCGATGGACAATTTTACCATACGTTGTTGTAGGCAAAGTTATAACAGACATCTCCATACTATACAGGAATCGAATTGACAAGCGCATGCAATGACCACACAACCACAAACAATTGTTACATATTAAAAGTATGCATAAATCTTACCAGTGTATAAATTCTATTTTAAAGGGACTGTTCCTACAGGATAATCCTTACCAAACGTTAAATACATCAAAGTTTGTTGATTCCAGTTCTGTTTCCGTGGAACTAAAGAAGGATGATGGAACACATATCAATGTACAAAATCTACCAGACCCTCTTACTATCGCAGTTCCACGACCAACTAAGAACGATAGTGTAAGTATTTGAAACAGTGAGGGTTAGACTGGTTTCAGACACCTCGTGTGTCGTTCATCATCGTCAATCGACTACCGTCAAGATTGTTGAAATACATGAAGCCACTGGTGTTTATTAGATATATTAATTTTAATTTTAACTTTAATTTTAATAGCTTCTCCAAGAATATACACATAGTACAAAACAAGCGATTATACAGTATTTATAGTCGATTTCAACTTACTTTTCACTAAAATGTTGCGAACTTCGTTCCGAACTTCGCAAATTCGTTGCCAAGTTCAAAAGTTCATAATGAAATTCTTAAACAGGTTTGTAAACTGAGCATTTGATTGGCTGGTTTGATTTAATAGCCAATCAGAGGCTTTGTTTACAAACCTGTTTGTGAATTTCATTATGAACTTTTGAACTTGGCAACGAATTTGCGAAGTTCGGAACGAAGTTCGCAACATTTTAGTGTAAAGTAAGTTGAAATCGACTGTAATAATAACAAAAATTGAGTAGTTCTTTAAAGGTTAGCTCCTTGTCTCCGCTGAATGGTATAGAGCCTTTGAATGGTAGAGCCTTTGAATTATAGGTGAATAACTGTATAACAAGGCTGTAATAATAAATTGACAACCATGAAAGCATTAGTAGGCTATGAATTCATCATTGAAATTTAAAGGGAAATGGCAATATAAATTTTTATTTTCTCATTTGAAAGAACTTTTGAAACTTTTTATTCCGATTCTTCATATCTTGCTTAGTTCTTGAAATATTTTCACTTGAAGTAATGAGATGTTAACGGTAGTTTTGGTTACGTCACAACAGGGATTAACCATATAATTCGTTGCTGACCAAATATTGATTGGTAGATGTTTTTAAGGTTTCAAGTAATCTTGATATTTCCAAGGGCATACGGAGTACAATTTTGAGTGCAAAATGGTTAGTGGTTGTCAATGTCTAGATAAAAATATTGCGTGACCCCTGTTGTGACGTAACATGCATATCTACAAAAATCCAAGATGGCGGAGATTTCATTTCTTTCAATTAAAATATTTGTAGAAGTAAGCAAGATATGAAAAAAAACGGTAAAAGAGTTTTATATATGGTTTTAAATGTTCTTTCAAACGAGAAAATAAAAAAATATATTGCCATTTCCCTTTAAAGCAAATTTAATGAACTAAGATTTCCAGCAGCAAAAGGGTGGTCTTAAATTAGTTCCCCCGAATTTTCCTGCACTGAATAGTCTCAGGGTAGGTCATGAGAGGTTTGCGTTTTGTATTCTGGCAGGGGAGTCTCTGGAGGATGATGTCGGAGAGATCTTCCTTTTGGTCTTTTACGCTGTAGCATGGTAACATATATGCCCTCGTCTACTGACACACAAAAACGCACAAGTTGTAACAAACCTGCAGCAGACTTGTAGTAATGCTGGTCCAACAACTTGTCAATAGGTTGTGTTCGCACTGCTTCTTCCCAGCTTGTTGACAAAAGTTGTCAACGGCTTGTTGACAACTTGCTACAGGGTTGTTGAGCTCAACAGACTTAGTGTTACGAGTTGTTTCAACAACTTGTTATCATCCTGCAATTCAACAATTTGTCAACAAGTTGTGAGTGACAACCTTGTACCAACCTGATAAAATAACAGTATTGTTACAATTTGTTGGTAAGCTTGCTAGAAGCCTGTTGCGAACACATCTTGTTGACAAGTTGTGATATTTTTGCGTGTGTACGGGAAGGCATTTTTATCATTTATAGACCCGGAGCGAGGGGGATTCGGCGTAATATTTCCCTCAGTGATGATATTTTCCGAGGGGCTTTGCCCCGAGGAAAATATTATCACTGAGGGAAATATCGCCGAATCCCCCGAGCAGAGCGTCTATAAATGATTTAAAACTTGCTGAATATTAACTACGCGAATACAATTTTTAATTTCTTATGTATACCTAACCTGAGTTTATGACGTTTCCTCTTTAAAATATTTGAGCGTGTATCCTTTGGATCATTAAAGGTAACATACGTCTTGAAAATCTTTGGTTAAATCAAATCTTCTGTACGAAATTACAAACAACAGCTCGCGAACGCCATATTGTTTCAGAGCGTGGTGTCCACGCGTCACGCGTGAGCGTGGGATACTATAATATCCCACGGTGGATCTGCCGTGGGATATTATCCAGGTGATCTCGTGTTCGTATGTTAGCCAATCAGCGCTCAGAAAGGGTTGTCCGAATAGAAATCCATTTTGATGTGTTCAGTCTATTATATTTTTAGTTATTCTTTATGAAACTAGTTGAAATTTTGTAATTATGTTTGGTTATGAGAACTATAGCTCTGACAAAAATATGGAATCGAAATAAAGTATATTACAGGAGATATTCAGTTGTTTTAATCATAAAATGGATTTCTATTTGACAACTAGTGCCAGTACTTTTCCGCGTATCAAGATCACCTGGATAGTATCTCACGCTGCATTGCGAAATCATGAATTTGAGTGAAATACCGTAAAAAATCACATATCACGTGGTACAAATGCTGTTTTTTCATTGGACATTTGAGGTATAATATATGATTTAATTCGTTCTCCGCGCCATATTAATTTGAAATACCATCTTTTTCCAGACATTCATAAACAAAACTGAAACGAAATCAGACGAATTGGTGGTCCATGTCCTCAAATTGAATTCCCAGAACAATGCTTTTATTGTTGAGATTATTCCTGACGACCCTATGGCGAATGTTACAATTTACGGTCATGGAGAAGGGGCACCGACTTTGGAAAAATACAATTTCCAGCATTCGTTTGAACTTAACTCTACAAAACATCAGCATTTCTTGGGAAATGAAACAATAAATGGCGTCGTGGAATATTATGTTGGAGTTGAAAGTGAAGTGCAGATGAATTACACGTTCAAGTCGTATGAAATAGGCTGTTATTATTACGATGAGGGGAATAAATCTTGGACAAGTCGAGGTTGCACGGTATGTATAGGTAGTCGCTTTATGTTTGAAGTGTCAGTAACATCCCAGACATGATGATATGGGTACAAGAGGATATATGATATAGATTTATAGTAAAAAAACATCATCTTGATCAACTTTTTCACGGTCGAAGTTGCCAAGATGACGATGTCATTAGATGAGTTGTAAATTACTTTTCTTTTGTTTTTGCTGATAAAATTTATCTAATGATGTCTATCTGACAATTATGACAGTGAAAAAGTTATGATCAAGATCAGGTTTTTTATACTATTAAGATATATTACATTTCTCTTGGAATGACCCAGATATGACTCATACCAAAAATTTATGTCTGGAGTGAGAACTCGCGTCTAAAAAGTGAGCCAAGGATTGCGGAAATTGATGTCCCAGCCGGAGCCAGCCCCTTTCCATTGTTTTTATCTGCGCGGTTAACACGAAGCTGCAAGAAGTGCGCCGTATTTTGACTTCGATTTAAAGAATAATGCTATGGTATAGTGAACTGGGAACTTGATTAGAGATTTGTAAGGAAAACTAGACTAAATTTTGATCTAGGCAAGAAGAACAAAATCCATTACTACAGCTAGAAAGAGCATGTTAAAATTAGTAAAATTGCAAAGTTTGGCCGTGAAATGTTGTAAAATGCGGAAAATAGAGCCCTGCGAAATTTGCAAATTTTGTATTAATTTGTATATTACGCGCGAGAAAATGCACCGGCACATTTGGGCCGAAAGTGGTGCATTTTGCTGTGCGTAATACAAATTAATACAAAATTTGCAAATTTCGTATGGCTATATTTTCCTCATTCTATATCTACAACTAAACTTTGCGATTTTACTAATTTTACCATGCTCTTTCTAGATGTGCATGCTGATGGATTTTTAGATCAAAATTTAGTCTATAGCTGGAATCACCCATTGTGAAATGTAGTTACATTTTCTGGCTCGTGAAAGCGTCAACAGTTTTGAAATTATGTTTGCGATGTTACTCTGAGTGCATATCCACACCGGGCGAGCTTGAAAAATATGCCCGGCCACGGTGGGATTCGAACCTACGACCTTTGGAATACTAGCCCAATGCTCTTCCAACTGAGCTACGCGGTCAGGACGGTTCGAGTAAGTGATACTTCGGAACAGTATCTAGTTCCTTCAATACCAATGTGTTCTAGTAATATGAATTTTTTCTGTGTTGGTGTTGTGTACTCAGGTGAATAATATGTTTGCGATGTTACTCTGAGCGCATATCCACACCGGGCGAGCTTGAAAAATATGCCCGGCCACGGTGGGATTCGAACCTACGACCTTTGGAATACTAGCCCAATGCTCTTCCAACTGAGCTACGCGGTCAAGACGGTTCGAGTAAGTGATATTTCGGAACAGAATCTAGTTCCTTCGATACCAATGTATTCTAGTAATATGATTTTATCTGTGTTGGTGTTGTGTACTCAGGTGAATATGTTTGCGATGTTACTCTGAGTGCATATCCACACCGGGCGAGCTTGAAAAATATGCCCGGCCACGGTGGGATTCGAACCTACGACCTTTGGAATACTAGCCCAATGCTCTTCCAACTGAGCTACGCGGTCAGGACGGTTCGAGTAAGTGATATTTCGGAACAGTATCTAGTTCCTTCAATACCAATGTGTTCTAGTAATATGAATTTTTCTGTGTTGGTGTTGTGTACTCAGGTGAATATATATTTGTGATGTTACTCTGAGTGCATATCCACACCGGGCGAGCTTGAAAAATATGCCCGGCCACGGTGGGATTCGAACCTACGACCTTTGGAATACTAGCCCAATGCTCTTCCAACTGAGCTACGCGGTAAGGACGGTTCGAGTAAGTGATATTTCGAAACAGTATGTAATTCCTTCAATACCAATGTGTTCTAGTAATGTGAATTTTTCTGTGTTGGTGTTGTGTACTCACATGAATAATATGTTTGCGATGTTGCTCTGAGTGCATATCCACACCGGGCGAGCTTGAAAAATATGCCCGGCCACGGTGGGATTCGAACCTACGACCTTTGGAATACTAGCGCAATGCTCTTCCAACTGAGCTACGCGGTCAGGACGGTTCGAGTAAGTGATATTTCGGAACAGTATCTAGTTCCTTCAATACCAATGTGTTCTTGTAATATGAATTTTTCTGTGTTGGTGTTGTGTACTCAGGTGATAATATGTTTGCGATGTTACTCTGAGTGCATATCCACACCGGGCGAGCTTGAAAATATGCCCGGCCACGGTGGGATTCGAACCTACGACCTTTGGAATACTAGCCCAATGCTCTTCCAGCTGAGCTACGCGGTCAGGACGGTTCGAGTAAGTGATATTTCGGAACAGTATCTAGTTCCTTCAATACCATTGTGTTCTAGTAATATGAATTTTTCTGTGTTGGTGTTGTGTACTCAGGTGAATAATATGTTTGCGATGTTACTCTGAGTGCATATCCACACCGGGTGAGCTTGAAAAATATGCCCGGCCACGGTGGGATTCGAACCTACGACCTTTGGAATACTAGCCCAATGCTCTTCCAACTGAGCTACGCGCTCGCCCGGTGTGGATATGCACTAAGCTCGCCCGGTGTGGATATGCACTCAGAGTAACATCGCAAACATATTATTCACCTGAGTACACAACACCAACACAGAAAAAAGTTTTGAAATTGTCACCATCTCCTCCCCGTAGTGGTTATTTAAACCCAACAAAAATGGTTTCTAACTGCATTTTCTAACTTATATTTTATGGTATTTGTCTTGTTTTTAGCCTTCTCCTAATTCAACGACGAAGTTGGTGCAATGTCTTTGTAACCACGCAACGTTATTTGGTTCGAATTTCTTTGTTGCACCAAATAAGTTAGATGTTGCGAAACAGATCGGTAACTTGGCAAATCTTGCTGATTATCCTGCACTTCTAGCAACTATCTGTGTCATTGGTGGACTGTATCTCATTGGAATGATCTGGGCACTCAGAAAAGATAGGAAAAAGACTTGCAAGGTTAGTGATAATTTCATACGTAGTCAATATATTTGCATGTCAAATATTTTCAAGTGTATCACCCATACAGGCAATGTTTAAAGGCTGTTTTACACTATCAAAGTTTCTGTGATCACAGTAAGAATTTTGCATGGGTAAATTCTAAGTTTTGAAGGATTTGTAAGATATCTCCGAGGAAACTGACACCACCAACAATCGTGGACAAAACTGTTAATAAAACTAATTAATATCATAATGAAATTGCATTAACCAAATTGTATTCCACATTCTGCCCCCCTTTCCCCCATTCAATGTTGGATTCGCCATCCCCACACTATAGACCCATTACTGCAACATTGTTCCGGGGGGAGAGGGGGCCTATGTGGCATGATGCGCATGTATTAACGAATATTGAACAAAAATGTACATAACTGCGAGTTGTATTAACAGGTTTTGTCCGCGATTGAAGTTACTTCCCTCAAATATTTCTTACAAATCCTTCAAAACTTATAATGTACTGTATGATTACAGACACATTCACGCAAAAGTTTAATGTGTCTGGGGTGATTGACTGATTTTAATTATTAGCTCAGCCTATCAAATCATGCTGTGTTGTGTTGTGTTGCGTTGCGTTGTCCTGTGTTGTGTTGTGTTGTCCTGTGTTGTGTTGTGTTGTGTTGCGCTGCGTTGTGTTATGCTGTGTTTTTGTTTATAATTTAATTCGAATCATTTTCCAGGCTACACTCCACTGTGC